TTTCGACACCCATGAACAAAATGTCTTCCTAAAACTACACCCTGAAACCTTCATCTGAAAAGCCTGAAGTGAGGGTCTTGTCCACGGGACATCCTAGGGGTGGGTTCAGCCCTAATGTAGGTCACAGGCAGCCACACCCATGTCCAAGAAAAGGACATGGGAACTTCCCAGCAGATAAGGAAATCCAAAGCTTTGGCGTTTTCTTTTAAAAGTCTCAGGTCGGGCTTAGGGGAGATCCAGTAGGGATGGCCTGAGGCAGATGAATTATCCAAAACTGCCCCTCCCCCTCCATGCGCAGGCCATGGGAAGGAGGTTCTCCTGCCCTCTTCCTCTCTGGAATGCCAGTTGTGCAGACTGGCCAAGCCAGGGGCACCAGAGGAGGCTTCCTCCCTTGACCTGACCAGGGGCCGGTTTCCCACGTTCTCCGCAATTAGGCTGAGCCTCCAGGACCTCGGGGGAGCTCAGATCTCTTAAGGCAACCAGGGCTCAGAGGGCCATCGACTTAGAATACTCCAGACTGTGTAGAGCCCGTTCTTCCCAATTCCCACATGTATAACAAAGCATCGCTGGGAGAGCTTTTAAATATATATGCTATTATTTACAAAAGACTGTTCAAACATGTTTTAAAAAAATAAACTCAAAGGGTACCTCATGATTTAAATGAATCTCTCTCTGTTATGCTAAATACCCCTTTGCCTGGCCATAGTTCTACTTTTCAGAAGCAACTTTGTTTTGTTTTGGTTTGGTTTTGGGTCACAGAGAGAGACCCTCTCTCTGGAAAATCAATAAATAAAATCTTTAAAAAAAGAAGAGAGAGAGAGGGGCGCCTGGGTGGCTCAGTGGGTTAAGCCTCTGCCTTCGGCTCAGGTCGTGACCTTGGGGTCCTGGGATCGAGACCCGCATCGGGCTCTCTGCTCGGCGGGGAGCCTGCTTCTCCTGCCCCCCCGCCTACTTCTCTGCCTACTTGTGATCTCTCTCTCTCTCTCTCTGTTAACTAAATAAATAAAACCTTTAAAAAAGAGAGAGAGAGAACCAAGTAGTATGTAAGGCCCATAAAGATGGAAATGCAACTTTATGTCACCAAAAAATCCATCCAAAAAATAATGGAAAAATGGAGTCGCTTTATTTAGACCCTTTCTTTTTTTCCAAGTCACATAGCACTTCAGTTCACTTCATCTGATCATCACTTCTGAATAGTTTTGGTTCCCTTTATTGTAATGGAGAGAACAGACTTGGGGGACCTTTTTACAGATTGAAGATCTTCTGGATTGTTACACATCTTTTTAACCAGGGTTCATCAACCACCACGTCCTGTCTACAGTGTTCTACTTTGGGCCAACTGCTTTCTAGGCCTGTTTGCTGCTGCTAATTTGAAATTTCTTTTCATTTTGTTCCTCAGAAGTTCTGCTGTGTGTTGGATTTGTTTTTCCTTCTCCTGAGGTACAACCCAAATCACATCAGAAAGAGTAAACTCCTGAGACATTGTCTTATTTGACCTAGATCCTTGAGTAACAGGCTAGCTGGCTATAAAATTTAGGTTCAAAATAACGTTTCCTGAGAACTTTGAAATCTTGCTCTACTGTCTTCCAAAATCAGTACTATTAATGGAAAATGTATGATGACCACCTTATGCTTGTATTTGTGGGTTTGGGGGGTTGGGGACAGAGCTTGTAGGTATCCTGGTAATTCTCACCACAAGCTTTATGTTAGGAATTGTTAAATTTCAGCAGAATAGCTCCTGGCACATGGTGAGTGTTTTTCATGGGAAAGTTTTTTCGTTCAAAGATACTCATTTTTATCATTTATTTGTTTCTCCACTTCTGTTCTCTCACCTCAGATGAATTATCAGCTTTCCGGATCGATCCCCCATCTCAACTTCTCTCTCATATTTTTCCTTTCTGTCATTCTCTGCATCCTGAGCTACTCTCTCAACTTGACCTTTCAGATTAGCACTTTAGCTGTCAGCCAAACCAATGGTTCCATTCTATTGATTTTTCATTTTATCTGGGAAGCCAATGTTTCATTTTCAAGGTCTCTCTCACGCCCCTGGTTCGCTCCTTTGGCATAGCCGCGCTCTGTGGTGACTAACGCGCTGGGTGCTCAAATCTCTGAGACTAATTCAATGTTCAACAACCTCTTCTTTTATCTCTTCCTCCCCCAGTTAGTTGGTCTTTCATCAAACAGTTCATGAGCCTTGACTGACCCATAATAATGTTGAATAAAAAGTGTACTGGTTGATTATTATAGGTACTGGGAAAAGTTATCTTTCGGGGTTTGGAAGAGCCATTTACTGGTAACCCCCTTCCCTGGATGAGGGGCTAACCTTACGTTTCTGTGTGCAAGGGATCAGAGACAGGCTTCTTTTGGGGTTGCATAGACGGCTCAGTGTGCACCTTCCAAAGGAGCCATGGAGGGAGGACCTGCTCTACCTGGACGGGGAAATGTTTCAGTGGATGTCTCTCCTCCTTGAAGCTGCAGGGTCCCAAGTTATCTCAGCCTCCATGCCAACCACCGCACTGGAGACCTTCTCCCAGGAAAGTCAGCTCCGGTGTTTGAGCACTTCTTCTGGGTCTAAGAGGGGACCAGTGCAGGAGGGGCTGCTCCTGAGACCTGGGAAGGCAGGGAAGAGGGATCATGGGAGCCGCAGCTCCTACAGAGGGTTCTCGAAGTCCTTGACACTCTAAGTAAAATCAGGCCCCACCCAGACCTACTGGAACTCAATCTGCATGTGAACCAGAGACCTCCCGGACTGGGGAGCACTGAAAGGCACACTCAGAAGCTGGGCTCCTCAGAGTCCCTGTTCCTGCCCCCCCAGCACCTGCTTTCCATCTGGGTCACCTCTGATCAGCCCCCCACAGTGGTTCTGTGGGGAAGAGGGGGCTCACGGTGCTCTGAGCTCCCCCGTGCAGGGGCCAGGCTGTCCCCCTGCCACGACCCACAATCCACGATTCACTTTTTCCTTTCAGTATGTAGTTCCTAGGTGTGAAAGAGCACAGCAAACATGCAAGCCCCCATCACACAGCTCAGAAATAAAACTCAACAGATAGGATCAGAACCCTCGTGCGTTCCCTTTGAGGGTTTTCTGGAGTGGTCCTATGTCCAGCAGGCAGGGGACCTGGTGGCCTTGCAGCCACAGAGGTGCTGCTCTGTGGGGACTCTGTCATCACACTGGTGCAGACCCAAAGGGGACCCGAAATCAAAGCCACTGGTGTTCACAACTGAGCACTGGGCTCGTGTTGGGGTGATAGAGAACTGCATCTGGTCAATGGGACCGCCTCATGAGCCCAGGAGAAGCTTCTGATGCTCCAGACAGGCACAGAGGAGGGAACTGGCATCCAGAATGGCTGTCCGCAGGAAGCAGTCCCCTCCACAAGACAAGATCCAGAGCCCAGACAAGAAGAGACAGGAGCAGGGCCAGCTCCATGTCCTAGAGAACAGTCTTGGAGGCAGAACACAAGCAGGGTGGGAGGTGGGTCCTGAGGCATAGGGAGCAAAGAAGTTCAGTCGCCAGAATATGGAATCAAGATGTGGCTTAGGTTTCAGAAATAAGGACGAGCTTGAGCTAGACCAGGTATAAGACCAAAGATGTGGGTTCTTAGAGACTAGGAGCTGCTGAAATTCCTCCTACCACCTCTTGGAATTGCTTCTAGATTTAACTAATGAAGACTCCGGGGTGTGAACTGGAGAACAGGGTGGGTGAGAAAAGGAGAAGGGAGGGGAGGGAGAAGCTGGGAACCAGATATGATTCGGCACCTGCTTGATCTCCAAAGGGCTTATGTTTTTCAGCATTTGAGAACAAGCCAACATATCCGAAAACCTACATAAACCATGAAGACTATTCTGCCCCCCTCTAGCCCAACCCACATCCCGAAACACTGTGCAACAAACACCGCAGAGCACTAGGAAGACCTCATTCCATCCCTGGAAGTTGTTTGGTGCACCTTCTGTGTGCCAGGCCCTGTGCTGGGAATGGAGACTTTGGAGGGTGGGGGTGGGTGGGGAGCGGCACTGCCTGGGCCTTCAGGCAACTCCTGTCCAGCTGGACAGTCAGACATGCAAACAGTTGGTTTCAGTTGGTGTAGGAAGGGCTGTGCCTGAGGAGTTCCTGAGTTGCATGCCTGAGAGGGACAGGGGAGAGGGGGAGAGGGAGGGAGACACGGCGAGGAGACCCAACACAATGTGTTCCATGAACTTTAAGACCGTGGCTGCTATGCAAGTGTGAGGTGGTCAGAAATCATGGCTTTGGAGACTGAGAGCCAGCCCTGGGTTCAAATCCTTCCTTTGCCCCTTAGCATTCGTGTGACCTTGAGCATGCTACTTTAATCTCTGTAAACCTCAGTTTTCTTCTCTGATCATTAGGAAACCTAAAAAAAAAAAAAAAAAAAAAAAGGCCATGAGAAGTACCTCTATCACTTTGCATGAAGTCCATACCCCTAAGAGGAATAAAGGATAATTCAAGAAGAAGACATACGTCATACTGGCTACTAAAATTGCTTAACGTTTATTCTTTTAGGATTAGTGGGTTGTAAGCCTCATGGGAGACAGACCGAAGAACTGGAATTGATTACACTCTAGTAGAAATGGATCAAACTATTTCCTCTTCTTGCTTCAAATTTCCTCCAAAAGTAGTCATTATTTTTATTTTTCTTTGTCCTTTTACAGATGTATTTAGTGGGACCTACCATTTAGGCCAGCTCGGACAAATTCCATGCTATGTTCATCATTGACATTCTTATATATACGTAAAAATGAAAACAAGAAATGATTATCTGTGAATTTCCAAGAATTCAATCAAAACAATGAAAAAAACTACAGCGAAGACGCAATAGAGAAGGAACCTGACCATTACTTGGCTTCCTTTTTGTGCATTCCTGCTCAGAAGTCTCTTCTTTGACTCCACAGGGAACACAGACAGCCTCTCTGTGACAACGAATGAAAAGGACAAACTGCGGAGCAAGAGGTAGAGAAACCCCGCGGAGCGGAGATGTGGCAGGAATTTATGCCGGGATATCTGCTCGCTGCACTGGGCTACTGATTCTCTGCAGCCGGCCGTGGACCATGGCTTCTCCACTAGCCAGGGTCAGTGTTTAATGGTGATGGTTTTGACTTCAGTGAAAAATTCGTAAGAGTCCTTGGCTCCTTCTCTACCTACCCCAGAACTCTTCATCCCCCCAAAAGGAAGGTTGAGCTCTCTGATGAGCCAGCAGTTTGTCCAGACCAAGCCAGACTGCAATTTCTTAGCCACCCGGTGGATACGGCCCACGTTGCTGGACCACACCGTGGCTGCCAGCCCGTATTTAACACTGTTGGCTCTTTGAATCACTTCTTCTTCGCTCTCGAAGGGGACGACACACGTCACTGGACCAAATATCTCTTCCTTCATGCAGCAAGATTCATCCTTAATGTCTGTTATCACTGTGGGAAGCATAAAGTATCCTGCACGATTCCTGGGGGGGAGACTCAGCGTGTCCACCCCCTCACCACACAGAATCCGGGCCCCTTCCAACTGGGCTCTCTTGATGTAACTTCTGACCTGGGAGGGTGAAAACCATGATTAGCAACATCTCACCATTTGCCTTGACACAAAGCGGCAGAAAGCTCAATATTTTTGAATCATCTAGGAAGTATGGATAAGGCCGTTGCTAAGAAATCTAAAGTTGATTGTCTTATTGCTCAGCAGCTAAGCCTGAGGGCAGAAGTGCTCTGACCATCATTTGGGCAGTCAGCCCCCAGACGGAAGAGGAGGGGTGTCATTTCTTTACTGTCTAAGTCCGAGACACATAGATAAATGCTTTTCATACATTCTCATTTAATTCTCTCAAAACTCTATTAGCTATGTATTATTACCGCCTATTTGCTGATGATAAAATTGGACCTCAGGAAAGGTAGATGGTTCCTACCACTAGTAAACAGGAAAGCTAGAATTCACACTAATAGATACACAAAAGAATAGTTACTCCTTGTGCGGGGCGGCGGGGGAGGGGGCTCTGTCCATTGCAGAATATGGGAGATTGAATGGTGCATAAGATTTCATGAAAGGCCAAGAAAGGCTTCCCGAACAAATCATTTCTAACTTCTAGTCTCATTACTGACTGCATTCGGAAAATATATCTAGTTAATATAGAATAGCTAACTATAATGGGAAATAAATTATGTAATAAGTAAACCCAGTAACTTGGAGACAGTGACAGATGTTTATTCACAATGGTGGTAGAAATGACTCCTTATAAAAGGATACGTACGTTTATGTATGGAAATTTCATTGCAGTCACAATGATAACATTATCCTACCCCTGAGCATAGGAGAAGTAGAAAAGTGATCTCAAAAATTAAACGTATAAAACAACAGTTAAGCGGTACATCAAAGGCAGGGTAAATTTTGAAGCCATACTTTGGATCCCTACGTATCACATATTCACCTGAGCATTCTGTCCCGTGTTAGGGAAGTTCTCCATTGTAGAACCATGCTCAACATAGAGTTATGTGTTTGCCATAGAAAAATTAAAAAGTACTGTTGTCTTATTTTTAATTTTGCTCTAGCTTCGAGAACACTTAATAAACCATGAGGTCAAAGACTTCTAAAAGATAGACTATTTGGAACAACTTTGTATTCCCCTCTGCTACACATTTGCCCCCAACATGTGCAATGATCTCAAAGCTCTCCCGGAAAAAGCCCTTGTCTAGTTTGCAGATGAAAACTAAATTAGGTCTGGACTTCTCTTTCCCCTATTCTCTTACTCCTCTTGAAACAACCCACTTAGATTAATTAAAAGATGCCAAAGGCAGCATAATGCGTGTACAGGGGAAGTCCAGGCAAAGATCTCCAGGAGCACCTGCTGAATGCAGGGCCAGAACTTTTTTCCGTGATTAAACACAGAGTGGCTTCAGATCATCTCATCTATGTGGAATTTCATGATTATCTCGGAGACATTCTTGGATAACAAAATATGAAGGAAAGTGTCTGTTTTCAAAATGCAAACCTTTCAAAATGTTTAATATATAAGATATATTAAACTCACACTAAACTAAATTTATTTTCTGGATGATAGAATGATATTTCAACTAGCAGCTCAGGAACTGAGATGTTCAGGAAAATGTGAAAAAAGAAAATGTTGTGACTGCTAATATGCCATAAAATGTATAAATTATAACTACAAAACTTTCTCTAAGAGCAGAGAGTAGCTAGTACTTGGTAGCTTTGCCCATAAAATCCTAGCACAGAGGTCAGGTGGGTGGGCGGGGAGCCCCAAGAGTTCAAATCCCAGAGTCTCCACTTGCTTGCAGAGGGATTTTCAATGCTCAGTTTCCCCTCTGAAAAATGGGAATAAGACTCCCATCTATTCATAAGCTTAGATAAAATGTATGTAAAATATTTAGCACAATGTCTGGCACGCAGTAAGTCTTTTGAATGCCAGCCACCACTGGTGCTGTTGGTGAGGAAGGTGATGGTATCACACACCATCTGAGGCTTACGAGCTGGGAAATTTCAGAGACATGCCCACCCTGCAAGTCAGTTTGTTTTAGTTTGTTTGTTTGTTTTTTAATCCAACAAAAGAAGCTAGCAAACTGCAAAAGTGGACCTTTGTTAACAGCCTGCAGCCTGGCCCTATAGGGGAATGCACCTGTGAATTTGCCCTGCGCTCCGCCAGCCTCGCTGTTAACACTCAGAATCCCATTTCCGATTTCCTGCATCTTTGGGCAGGCTGGCATTGAGCCAGATTCTCTGGACAGTCGCGTGGAAAAGGACTCGAGGGGGGAAAAAGAAAAACAAAAAGCAATCTGTGAAACAGGCAGAGAGCCTTTTCTACCCTCCTTGAGGAGAGAGTCGCCTGCATCCCAGGGAGGCAGGCCAGTCACTCGTCCACTTAGGAGCAAGCTGCATCTCTGTGAGGTTCTGAGCCCTTTGCCATGACCGAACAGCTTAACAGCTTCTGCATATTCTAGTCGGACTCCTGGGTCACTGCCTCGCCATCTATCCTGACAACCACAGAGAAGCAAGATGGACACAAAGACCCCAGACTCTGCAGGGCTAGTTTGCTTCAAAGCAGACACAGACAAGCTGCAGAGGAGAAGTGGGATAGAAGATGGTCGCCTGGCCTCCCCTGGGACGCAGCCTCCACAGCTCTCTGGTGAGAGGTGAGGACAGATGACCACTGGTGGAATGTCTGCACGCCCTTCTTGATCTCCAAACCGGCATACCCAGCTGAAAAGAGTCCCACTGAAAAGGCCACATTTACACTGCCCTAGCTGCTTCCATTATCTCTCTCTCTCTCTCAAGGGCCAAGATACCCAGCGCCTCCTCACAAGAATCCATCTGCAAGCCCCCCATCATGGGTCCACCTGGTGGGAGACTCAGAGGGGGAAGTCATAACTCCTTGCATCTGGGCACCTGTGCTCAAGGTGGAGCAGTGAAGATGACAGATGTCCAGGAGCCATCAAAGTCTTAGTAGGACTGCCCCGTGGCCTCACATGGGGGAGGCAATGTAAGCCCACCTGCGGGGCGCTCTACTCTAGCAGGGAGAGATCCAGTCTGTAGGACGACAAAACAAGAGGGCTCCACTGATCGCAGCAAGTTTATATGTGGTGGAGTAATGGGAATACGATCTTTAGTGTTCTTCCCTAGAAAAATAAAAATAAAATAAAATGGCCAGGACACCTGGGTGGCTCAGCTGGTTGAGCATCTCCCTTTGGCTCAGGTCGTGATCACAGGGTTCTGGGATGGAGCCCAGCATGGGGCTCCCTGCTCAGCTGGGAGCCTGCTTCTCTCTCCCCACGCTGCTCATGCTCTCTTACCTGCTCTCTCTCTCTCAAATAAATAAAATCTTTTAATAATAATAATAATAATAATAATAAATTGGCCAATGATTAAAGAAATTTTGAAAATTTTTTTTAAGATTTTGTTTATTTATTTATTTGACAGAGATCACAAGTACACAGAGAGGCAGGCAGAGAGAGAGGAGGAAGCAGGCTCCCCAGTGAGCAAAGAGTCCGATGCGGGGCTCGATCCCCAGGACCCTGGGATCATGACCTGAGCCGAAGGCAGAGGCCTCAACCCATTGAGCCACGCAGGTGCCCCAATTTTGAAATTTTTAACTATGTGTACAAAATCTTTCTCCCTAAAAGCAGCAGAGCCATGGAGCTTTCTGAAATGAGTACAGAGTAATTAATTGTACTTTGTTTTAATAAGCAAGTGCCTGAAAAATTATTTTCTATAAGGATCAAGTAGAAAGTCAAGAGAGGTTAATTGAAAAATCTGTAGTTTGACGTACAGTCATGTGCTACATTGGTTTCTTAGTGTGGACAACTGTATCGTGGACTTGGAAGATGTTAGCAAACGGGAAAGCTGCGTGAGTGGATATAGAAACTCTCTGCCCTGAGATTCTGAGACTTTTCTATAAATCTTAAGTTATTCCAAAATAGAAAGTTTATTCCTTTTCTTAGTTATTTGACCGAGATAGAAAATATATCATGGTAAAAATACAAGGGAGTTTTTAAAAACTTCTGTTTGAAAGATAAATTTGGGCTTATGTTTGAATATGGTCAGGAAAAAAAAAGCAAACTGCTAACTGTAAGCTTCACCATTTTCAGAGTTACTCATGGCACTTAAGTACACTACATTGAAAGGACAGTAAGCAAACAAAATCCAACCAACATGTTAAATAAACACTTGTCTTTCCAGCATAATTTGGTTTCATAGAAGATGGTATTTCTGGGCTAGGATTCGTGAGGGAGTGGTTGACACCGGGCCTAAAACCTCGTCAATGTTTCAAGTCTTAAAAAAAAATCAAATATCATTTGTGGTTTAGATCTATCAGGGTTCTTGGATTTTTTCCACACCTTCTGTGGCTATAATGCTAGAAACAACGGGAATCCCTTCTGATGTCCTGCAGGACTGTTTCAAACCCTCTCTTCCCTCCTGAGCCCTCAGCACCTTCTCCCCTCTTCACCCTGCTTCGTAGTTCACTGGGAAAACCGAAGAAGTAAGAGGAGACCACTGAGCTGCTATACCCTTGGCTAAGAGCCTCTGTGCTTCACAATGCTGTAAAGAACAAAGTTAAAATGTAGTAAATCTCCCAATTCTATGCAGAGTCAAAGATTTCTACAGACTTAAGTAAAGGCTCTGTCCCTCACTGGCTAACAGACAGGGGTACATCTTCCTTGGTGGGTCTCAGTTACCACAGCTGAAAACAAAGTCCCCCAGCTCCAGCGTTCTGTGACTTATTTTGGGAGTCACATCAGGTAATACATGAAGATGATCTTAAAGACCTAAATTCCAGAGACCATCAACGGCTTCTCCCACGTAGACTACCACTAACTCTACCCACTAAGGGCCACGTAACCAGCAGGCATGGCACGTCCAGAATTGCATCTGCTGTAATGCCACAGGCAGAACCCATTCTACTGGGAACTTTTATCAATGGAAATCCTGCCTCCCTTAATCCACGTCATTCTTATCCGCTGACCCTTATGTTTAAAATTTCTCTTCCTTGCTCTCAATGGTATCTACATGCTGACATCTCCAATTCATTTATTCCGTGTAGACATGGCTTTAACCTGGACAACATTTGTAGACACTGTACCCAGAGACCATTTCCTACAGGTCAGAATTTTTTTAAGAACAGGGTGGTAATGACAACATTTCAAAGCAGAAATGTGTGCTATGCCCTGCACTGGGCTTCTCCCCAAACTCCCATTGCAGAAAATTGACTTACTTTCTCCAAATGAGCTTTACTTATCAGAGCTCCCATGCTGGCCGATGGATCAGAGGGAATGCCAACTTTCCACATTCTGGTAGCTTGTACAAACTTCTCCAAAAATTCACTATAGATGCTCTTCTGGACAAAGATTCTGCTGGTACAGAGGCAGATTTCGCCCTGCCAAGAATGACACATGAAGACAATGATGAGACACACTCCTTCATGAGTAGGTCACCCTGCATCTCTGGTCACCTACCTGCCAGGTGCCAGGCACTGCTCTAGGCCATGGGAGACACTGATAAATAAAACAAAGTCCCACCACCAGGAACACACACTCTTGTGGAGAAGTCAGACAACAGCACAGGTCAATGAGCTCAATCAATAATACAATTTCAGGTCATGAGCAAAACAATACAAGAAAACTAAGCAGAGGATGGGAACAGAAATCAATGGGAAAGTGCTGCTTGTAGTCCCTTGGAGTAAAGGGAGTTCTGGAAGGGCCTTGTAGGGAGGGGCTGTTTGAATTGACCCTTGGTTGGTGGGGAGGAGCTGGCTGGGCTAGATGCCAAGGAAGGCAATTCTCAGGAGGCAGGGTGGACCGGCTTCTTGCTGCAGGAGCGTGCTTGCAGGGGTGTGGTGTGTGAGGCAAGGCAGAAGGCAGGCAGGGCTGAGGCTGGGAGTGGAGGCAGGAATGGGGGCAGGGAGAGTAAGAAAGGAGGGCAGGAGGTGAGAGCAAGGCCCTACCATGCGGAGTCCCACAGACTCACAAAGAGTTTGCATCTTGCTCCCGGGATCATGAAAGGCCGGTGGAAGGCTTTAAGCAGCAGCATGATATGATCGATTTCCATTGTTAAAGAGTTGTTTCGGCAGCCATGGGGAGTAGAATGGAAGAGAACGAGAGTGGGGTCAGGGTAGAGTTCACAGCATATTCCAGCAGTCCAGGCATGCGGAGGTAGCTTGTACCAGGACAGGACCAGCGGAGCTGGGCAAAGTGATAGGTATCCACCGACATCACCAGATTCATAAAGGGACATGGAACCCCCAAGTGCGAGAAAACTGGTATTGGTGCTCTGTGGAAGCAGGGGAGGTTCCAGGATATATTAGAATAATTGAACCAAAAAGATGGGTTGATGGATTAGTGAGATAGGAGGTTGGGGTAAGAACAAGGTCGAGTCCCAGGTTTTTGATGGAACCTCAGATGGTAGTGCTTTAGCCCCCAAAGGCAAGCCTAAGGCAAGGAGAGGAGCGGTATTGCAGGGATAGGGGATGGAGGGAAAGCAAGAGATCTGCTTGGCATGGGTTAAGGTTCGGATGCCTCCTAGACATCCAAACAGAGATACTGCCTGTTCAGGGCAGAGGTGCTAACAGGAGCCTGAGGGAAAAATGATCTTTACTATCATCTGAATATAGCATGCGGTCACTTACAAACCACAGTCTAGACATCTCAAATCATTATGTATGTATGGTTAGTACATTTCTGCATAAATAACGATTTTCACCACATTTATATTTGATCTTCAAACCATCCTAAGGATGGAATATTTCTAATTATTTTGACAGCTGTGCAAAGGTGTATTGTCCAAATCAAATAGGCACTGTTTTGGAAAAAAGAATTCTCTCTGCAACCCAGCATCACTATAAGAACTATCTGTGTATCTGGCTTGGGAACTCTCTAGACACGAGTGTCCCCTGCCGTGTGGGGAGGGAGGGTGTGGTAAAGAGAGTTGGGGGGTTACACAGTCAGGGTTTTCCTGATTACTTAGTGCCAGGAAAGGCTAGGTAATGCCAGGATCTCTGGTAGCATGACTTTTGAGGAAATGAGAAAAGGGAAATATTATTTATTGCATTCCAGAGACCGTGCAGGGTGCTTTTTTCATAACAATTCTACGATGCCATAGGTTTCCCAGCTTACAATTAGGAAATGGAGCTTTGAACGAACCCAAGCCCAGGGCCACCAGGCACCGGAAGTTTCAACTTCAGGCCGAGTGATGCTGAAGTCCATTCATTTCTTCAGTGTCTCACAGCTTGTCTAAGTGTGACTGCGACTGCGCCTCTGGCGGAAGGAGACTACGTGTGGCAGAGATGTTTCAAAGGGGCCCATTATGTTCAACTGAGGAAGAAGTGTTCACTACATGGGACTCAGCTCTTGGTTAAGGAAAAAGAAACCAGCCCCTGTAGTTTGCCTAAAATGTGCCTATTGTCTTAAATTAGCCAGTTGGGTTCCTGTCCTCTTCCCCAAGGACATTTAAAATACCCCCCAAGAGGAAGGTTCTCTTAGCAATTTCAAGTTCTGGCACAATCCTGGTAGCCAAGAAGCCACAGTCCATCTCATCACTCAGAGTACGTTTTTTTTTTTTTTTCATGCAGAGTTCACCTGATGGCCTCTGGGCTGTTTCGCAGTCCACAGCTTGTCCCTGACCCCCGTGTTGTCACTAAGACACCAAAACACTTGATTTCATTGTTCATTTGGATACTTGTTTACTTTAATGATTGAAATAGCTGTATCATAAAATTGCAAGTCTATTTTCTAAAATCTTAAAATTTAAGTCTGTTGATCTAGAAAAACGCTCTCTACAGACACAGTGAAACCACTTTCTCTAAGAATGACTGTGAGAGAAATAATTACAATGATAACAATCACAAAAATAACCACTGTCAAGAATGGTTTTCATTCTACAACTCACAAAAACGCTACTGGAAGACATCATTACTTCTCCCAGGAGTTTCCAGGCAAGGAAATGAAGGTTCAAAAGGTTACGTAAAACAACTTGGGCAAGTTAAATAAAGATATATCTCACTTCACTCATCTTTCTTTCTATGGCAGTTCTAACTCTTTAGTAGATTCTTTGTTCACTGCTAAAATTTTTAAAAAGCAGGCCCTTTGGAGAAAATCATTCAGTATTTGTGCACACCTGCTCTACCCAAGACCTGATGCTGGGGCGTTTAAAGTCGAATGTAGCCCCAGAGCAGACTCTGTGAGGTTTACCATCAGGTCTATCTGGGTCAGTGTTCCTAACCTTTTGGGATGCCACTGCCTTGAAGAATCTGCTGAGAACTGTGGCTTCCAGAAAAACATCTGTTACACAATTTCGGGAGATACCAAGTTGCCCATGACTCTGTGACATCAGCAACGTCCCCTAGACTGGTTTAGGCATTTATTTCTAAGTGTGTGCTACATTTGGGATGCTTTGGGGAGCACAAGGTTTACTGGAGATAGGACATTCAGAGAGCAAGAAGAGAATGGGGACAACTCTATGAATACAGGGATGAAAAAGCTTAGAGGAGCAAACAGTCAATCATTTTGCCCATGGCTTATACCCAATAAAGCTCAAGAACAGGTGTTTGCCCAACAGAAGCTGTGCTTCCACAAGAACCACAGATGGACATTGAGATAAAACAGAGTCGATGGCATAACACAATGTCAAAATCTCCTTTCCCTGAAATAGCCCCAGATTGACCCACTCACTCCTGGCTTGGCACTGTGATGAAACGGATCCAGGCTGACTGGGTCACAGAATTTTAAAACAAACAAACAGACAAACAAACAAACTCAAAACAAAACACACCAACCCAGAGGACACACCTGGTTGGCAAAGCTGGACCTGACAGTCGTTGGAATGCACTCCTCCAGGTTGGCGTCCTCGAAGATGATAGCGGGGTTCTTGCCCCCCAGCTCCAGGGACAGCTTCTTGCAGTGCGGGGCACTCAGCTGTGTGATCCTCTCAGCCGTGGGCTGGCTCCCCGTGAAGGAAATGAGGGGTACCTCTGGATGGGACACCAGGGCCTCGCCAACGCTGGGCCCTGTTCCAAACACAATATTTACCACACCTGGTGGGACACCTGGACAGGAAACAGAACAGTCTCCAGGTCCGTATCTGAATGGGATGCAGAAACAGTAACAGAAATTACAACAGTAATCCTCCATGTGTTGAGAACTTTCAGTGACAAGGAGGTTCTCCTTGGAAGTGAAGTAGTTCGAATGGAAGGGAGTGTATTTTATGGTTGTCTCTAGTTTAATGGCAAAGCAAATACTATAGCACAAATCCAGTGTGCCCTAGGTGGGATATTTCCAGGTGCTTTGCCTTAGAAAAATGAAGAGTGGAACCTTCTAATTAATTCATTCCATAATATTGACTAGGCATCAAGGGCTCGGGTCACAGAGATGTCCTCAGGCAGGCCAAGCCCTGTAAGGTAGAAGAACCCTGCTCCACATGGGCGTTGAGGAGTCATGATTCAGTGTGAAAATGTGAAGTGGACAGAAGGAGAGATTCACTGGCTTGGCTCAGGAAAGGGAGGGAGGGCTCCCTTGGGCTCCCTTGGGCTCTCTTGGGCTCCTCCAAGAAGGTGAGTATTGAGTTAAAGGTCCTGTGTCCCATGGTACAGACATACACTCTAGAACTGATTTAAAGTGCCAAATACATCCTAAAACGGGAGCCCCATCTTTCTAGCATGAGACCCTAATGCTCCCCACTGGCCCCTCTACACTAAGGCCCTAGTTTGCCAGATAGATTAATACCATTAAGTGCCCGCATTCACTGTGGGCCAGTCACTGCTGGAAGCGATCTAGATCTCCCAGCTACTGGATGAGACACGTAGGACTCATATCCTCACCTCAACCAATCTGAGGCAGAATGAGGCTAAAGGGCAACCACTAGGAGGCAAAACCGGGGGCACACGGTTAACAAATAATTATGTGAATGAATGAATGGAGACTTTACATTATCCAAATCAGAAATGGTCCTTGACTCTGGAAAGCTTTATGTGTCCAGAAAGAAAATCTAAGTGCAATCGTATTGTGTCTTAGGGTTTAGGAGATTAGCTGAGTTTCTTTCCCATATTTCTCCAGCCTGGAAGTACAGAGATGCAGAAAACCTCCAATGTGTAAAGTTTATTAACTACTTCCCTGCTCCCACTATCTTTCCGTGTCCAGGTTAGACATTCTTTTCCGAACAGAAACATGCTCTGTTGGATTCAAACCATCTCTTCCAGAATATGCTTTTAGAGTACAAATAACAAGTGGGCATTGATGATCCATCATCAACCAGAAGACCTTCCTATCAAGCCAGAGCCCTGGTGTGATCACCTGAGGGGATCACCCCCTTCACATGAGCCTCAGAGACAGGTGTGGGGAATCAATGACTCCTGGTGGTATCCAGGGGAGCTTCCCCTCTAATGGCCTCTCCTTTACCCGCAGGTGCACACATACTGAAATCTAGCTTGGGTTGGTCCTGGATCACAGGTCACTGCCATGGAGGGCAGGCCCAGAGTCAGACACCATGTGACAGCCACTAAGCCCGTGTTGGGGCAAAGAGGGGGCTCAGGAGAGTGACCCTCATGGTGGTTGATGGGGGGAGAAACAAGGTCAAGTTTCCCACCATTTGCAGGCCGGGGGGTCCTGCATCTCCATCAGACAGGGAGCATGTGAATATTTGCCCAATACTTTCTGATTGGGGTTTGGGGGCAAGAGAAGGTGGACTATTGGGCTTTATAAATCCTGAAGGCAAAAATGGATCAAATCACTGCTAATGTATACAACAGCATTTTAATGAAGAGTGAAGAAAACTCAGAAACACTACGTATTTATCATCCCAGGAAAATGAGTTCACTTCAGCAGGCCAATTGCCCTCTACACAACGGCATTAACACTTTACATTCCCTTGAGCTTTGGTGTTAATGTGTTTACCTACTGGCCAGTAATTCTCAGCACCACTTTGCCAATTTGATCGAGACAATAATGAAATTTTTCTACCCTTAAGATATGCCAGTTACCAGAGAAAGGAGGAACTATGTTGGCAAATGATAATTCATTAAAACTCAGAATAGGTGGCTAACAGACAGCACGGGGCATAGATTCCCTGCACCAGGGACCGGGATGGGGAAGGATGGCAACAAGCTTCCACTGGGCAGAACAAAACTAGGAAAGGACAGAAATCTGCTTGCCCTGGACACTGCAGGAATGAGGCAGGCGTCTGGTGCTGTCAAGAAGGAATAACTGTTCTAGAACTATAAAAGGAGCACTCACTGTATACTTTTAAAATTACTTTACTTCACAGGAGGGTCAACTGTCAAGTCTGTTTGAATGCTCCGGACCCGAGGACTGGCTCTATAAATATCAAGAATGCACCAGCAGGTCGTCTTAGTTTTCTGTTGTGTACAGTATTCAACACATCTCGTACAGATTCTCAAGCCAAATGGAGAAACTGAGGGCTTAAGACAGGTGCAATTTGAGCCTTACACTCTCCGTAGCGCCCAGAGGAAGAAAGTTTAGCAAAGCCACAGAGGCAGGGAAGGAAGGAAGAACTGTCTTGGTATAACAAGCTTATTCATTCACAAGAAATAAGATCAACGCTATGCAAATACTTGGAAATGTAGAACTCTCCTGTAGCCCAGGAGCTGGGCATATGGAAAGGGAGAGTGCTTAGGGAAGAGAAATCTTCATAGATCAAGATGTGGTTGACTTCAAGAGAGAGTGTTTCTGGGAACACAGCTCTGTGGCTTCACCCCACCTGCAGGGCTGCCCTCCCCAACATAGATCACGGCACAGCATCGGCCCCTTCTCTCTACTCCAGGGAACCTATAGCCAACAGAGAGGGAAGAAAGGCCTTGGAACTCTGTAGATACTAGGCACTTAATTTTGCAAAGAATGGCATTAGAAAGTGATCCCTAATGTAAAGAAGGAATGATACCCTTGGAACATGGGAGAGATAGGCACATTTCTGTCATAACCCTCTAGAAGCCTAGGGCATCCATAAATGTCACCCCAAAGGCTGAATCTGGGAGGCCTCATTCCTCTGTACAATACAAGGGAAATGAGCAGCTAGACTAGGGTCATAAGGCCACATAGTTCACCCTGCCATCTAAATCCTGGAGTAAAAACTGGCTCAACTTTCTTGGAAGCCAATATGTATGTTTTTGCTTAGAGAGATGAGGTATCCAGAAGAGGGAGGTATGGGTTCTTTCCAACCACCTACTTTATGGATATGGGTGAGCCCGACACTACCTTCTCTGTGGACTTGAAGGAAGCACACAGAGCAGGGTGCGTATGGAGACCTGAGTGGAGGGACCTAACAGCAAGGGGCTTTCCTGTGGGTTGCAAGCTAGGTTCTCCTGACACAACCCTGGTGCAGAGTCAGACCACATCCATGCTGAGTTATACCCTAGAACCTACCCAGGAACATACCTTGGATGTGGCCAGGACGCTGTTGACATAAAGAGGCCAAGGAGCCATATTATATCAGCTTCCACACGGTGGCTCCAAATGTAGAGAAAACTGAGGGAGGTATATTCAAATCTCTTAAAAATGCCCATTTCTAGCAGGTATCATATAACCATACAAACCAGAGAAGTACTTAAGGGCAGTCTTATTTGCATCAAGATTAACAAGTGGTTCAAATAGAAGATTTTAAACCATCCACTGAAGACGATCTCTGGGGCAGGCTGGTGTGGGAGTTGACAGGGATCTTTAAGCCTGTTCTCACTTACAGGTGTGCAATCATGCCACTGCCTGCCAACCCCCCCCAACCCCCGCCGGGAGGACAGGGGTGAAGAGGAAGGAGTGTGATCCAACCCTGTGTGTGAAGGGGATTTCTCAGAAAAGAATCAGAGAGAGGAAAACCAAAGATGTCAATGGAATCAATTTTGGCGAGCAGATTTCTAGTCAGAACAACTTTTCACATGTCAGAGACGCTGTGGCGGCTGAGACCCCCCAAACTTGCAACCCCAAAGCCAGTCCTGCACCTCTCCAAAGCCACTGCTCATTACCTGCTTTCTCCAGGAGTTTGCACATCATCCACGCCGTCACTGACGTCAGCTCGCTGGGCTTGGCTATCACGGTATTGCCAGCCGCGATGGCCGGCGCCACCTTCCAGGTCAGCAAGTAGAGTGGCAAATTCCAAGGGCTGATCAGACCAGCTACAAGAGGAGAACAGAAACGCTGCCACCAAAGGCAGGACCCTCAAACTAGACTGGCCAGACTGGGTTTATTGACGTGGAACTCCTCCACCCTGCATGAAACTTAGGCTTACCCTTCTAAAACCCCCACCTTGGCTTACTTGTAGCCAACTTTGGGGAAATAACTCTAAAATGTATTATAAGGAACTGTGCCTCTTAAAACTATAAAGCAATACAATTTACTCTTCTCTTGTTGATGTAACAGCTGTATTTATGAACAAGGGCAATGTAAGCTCCAGGGCCAAAAGGCTGTCTGTCACCTGTTACTAAACAGTTCCAGAATGTGATGAGTTTTGAGATTTATAGACTGGCCTTTACATTTTTTTTAAAGTTCTCTCTCCTTCTTCATCATCCAACTGTCTAGCTACTATTTCTTTTAAGTTTTTCCATCACTGTTTCTAACCTGTTGTGGATTAAGGCATAAAATCTCAAGCTTTTTAGAATTAGTGGTAAAATAAGAGCAAATGCATTCTTAGTCTGCCACGTGGGGGCCTTCTGATTAGTAAAGCCAGGGAAACTTGATGCATAGACTATGAAATCCATTTTGGCCAGTCAGAGGATTTTTTAATAAAAAATTCTCTCTGGGTTATCACCTGTTTCATGACCAGATAGAATTGCTAAATAAGTAACAGAACCAGCATCTAGAATGTGTCTCCATGCAATGTTCTGAAACCATAAAACTTCCAACTATAAAACTCTCAAAAAAAAAATTTACTTTATGAATTTGTAAATGGATTCATCTTATTTATACTCTTCCCTTAAACCTATGTTGTGAAAGTCAACATATATTTTATATGATTATATTTCTCACTAGAAAATCTTTTCTTTATAGGATAACAGAGTTTTTTTTCAGCATGATATATCACCATACTTCTAAGAGAGAAGTTTGAGTTTTTCCTAATTCCTTCAAAATATGATTTCCAAAGAGTTCAAATAACCAAAGTGGTAATGTGTCCTGTTTTCGTTCCTTTAAATTTATTTACTTTTATCCCATCATAAAATGTAACTAGTTAAGTATGCGTATTTGGGGGTTGGAGGAACAGTGACATCTAGTGGGTAGTTTGAGTCATTGCTCAGGTTCACTTATCTAAAAGAAAGCAGGAAGCAGTTAATTCACAGCGCCCTACACGTACTAATTTAATTGACACTAACATATATAAATATAAAATTAAAACTATTCTCCCAGCTTTTAAGACAAGAATCCTGAGGTATAGAAATGTAATGAAACTGGCCCCCGCACATACCCAAAATCCTTGCTCTTGACTACAAAATTCTCTGGGGGAAAAAAATGTTTTTTAATGTGGGGGGCGGGGGGAACCTTTGTATGTGAATTTCCTCCCGGCATCCTTCTTTTCCTGCTAATTTCCCAAGAACAGTGTTCCAGGAATAAGTAGAGAATGTGAGACAAAGAAAATAAACTAGAAATAGATTTTTGAGGCCCATTCATTTTCAGCCGAAGTAGAAGTCATCTCTTTCCTTCCTCCCGGTCTCTTCCTTTAGACGAGTTCTACAGAACGGAGGGAGCATCCCTGGGCACCCCCGCAGAGCAGGCTTTCCCCAAGCACCCACCGATCCCCACCGGGGCCCGCAAGGTGTAGTGCAGACAGCCCAGGTGGTCCATGTGCGTGCACTCGGACGTGTGGTGCAGGATGCAGGAGGCGAAGAACCGGAAGTTCTGCACAGACCGGGGAATGTCCATGGTTCTGGCCAGTGTTAGGGTTTTCCCTGAAAGAAGCCAACAACAGAAAGCACCGTCCGCCTGCTTCCCCGGGGGATGGAGCAGACATGATCACACACGTATCCCAGCTCACACCAACGGAACGTTGGTCCTCTCCAGCCTGAAACATCATCCCCTCACGACTCAGAGAGCTGGTCATGGTCTCATAGAACCGTGAAATAATTAGGTATGAAGTTATCAGATGAAATGGGGGGGGGGTCGTTAAAATTAAGTGAAACCATCTTTGCTTTGCGGGCTGAACAATTCGTGGCTATCATGAATCTGCCAGATGCTACCACTCTGCTCACATCAGCTCTTTCAAGTCAAAATCACCAAGCTTTGTACCCTCTAGGAGGGCTTGGAGTAATGGGTATTAAGACAGCTGTAGCTGCATGACACAATGAAACCACTTTGACAAACAGATGATGTATACTAAACGTCTCCCCAACACGGGGCGGAGTCCTTAAGATGGGAACGTGCCAGAAAGGCTGAGAGGACCCCAAGGATGCCGTGTGGCCCTCACTCACTCACCACGTGCCCCATGTATGCCCTAGCTTCTGAACTGAACAAAAAGAGAAACATAGGTTTTCTGGGTTGTTCCTTAGTTGTCTTTGGTGATTCAGGGGGACCCCCAGTGTCAGCAGCACTGGCAGGAAGCATCTCCTTAAGAGTTTGGACTCAGGCTGCCTTCTAACTTTAAGCTGATTTATAAGCATCCGTATCATTTTAAAAGATCTCGGGGTTTCCCAATAGATATTACTATTGGACATTTAATCCATTACTTACGCCTCTGGGAAGGAGTTAAAATTGGGAAGTTGTGTTGGGAGTTCGATACAGACATACAGATTCTTTCTAAATAACCTGCTCTTCAATTATTTTTGCTTTGAATGGTCTACCTAGAAGGATCCTCTTCTTCCCTTTGCCCCACATCTACTCGAGGGGGGCAACTTGGGGGGGCTACTATGGAGGAAGTACCCGAGTCCCATCCCTTGTAGTTAAGAGGCTGGGGGTCACCTGACCAATCGGAACTAAGGCAGGCATGGCCGACATCTGAGGATTAGTACTGCACTCTTCATTAGGCACCGCACTGGCCAGTACAGGGTGGGCCAGCGGCACTCACCTTGGTCCCTGGATTCTGCCTGGGCCAGCTCCTCCAGGGATTGTTCCAGCAGATCTGCCAGCCGGTGCAGCACCTGCGAGCGCTCCTGGGGGCTCCGGGACGACCAGCCGGGGAAGGCTGCTCTGGCCGCCTCCACTGCGGCTTCAATCTTTGAGGAGCAAGAGGAAGAGGGTCAGCTTAAGACCGTTGCTCCCGAGGTTGGATGAATCCAGAATATACAGGTCCACCTCCGCCTAATTTCCTTCTGCCTGATTTCAAATATTCAAGGCCTCCTCATGCTGAGTTACCTGCAAAGTGGTGTTTATGTGACCAGAGAATCAGGGGCACCACAAAAACAGAGAAGAATGCTCCATTTTGACCAGGGTATTCAGATGCGGCCATCAGAAGGAAGCTATTTGAATGTTAACAGATGCACATTTTTAATCACGTTAAAATACAAAATTTTTTTTCAGTAGTGTATGAGAGAGAAAACATCACTAAGATGTGTAGAATCCCTCAGCTTTTAATCCAGATCCAACATATCTGACAAAGTCTAAAAGTTTATTTGAAATCATATCCTCAGATTGTCATTTCCACTCAAAATGACCACTCGAGGGGTACCTGGGTGGCTCAGTGGGTTAAAGCCTCTGCCTTCAGTTCAGGTCATGATCCCAGGGTCCTGGGATTGAGCCCCGCATCGGGTTCTCTGCTGAGCAGAGAGCCTGCTTCCCTTCCTCTCTCTGTCTGCCTCTCTGCCTAATTGTGATCTCTGCCTGTCAAATAAATAAATAAAATTTTTTTTAAAAAAATGACCACTCAAAAATTACTAATTTTTTATATAAAGAATATGCTAAATGCACAAATTATTTTATTTCACCTGTTTTAGAATTCTGTACCCTGACTATTGCTATGCCCATTTTGTGGATGAGGAAACCGAGGCACAGAGAACTCAAGTAACTCAGCAGAGGTCACACAGCTAATAAGTGACAGTATCAGGACTGAAACCCAGATCTCTGTGGTTCCAAGACCACAGCTGGCCTGCTATGGCAGAGCCACGGTCCCTGTAGCCTGCCTGGCTCTGCCCAGTGAAAAAAGGCCTCTGTGGGAAAGGAGGGCGTCCGTGTTTGAACAGATAGCTTGGAAACCTGGCTTTGGAGCAAATCCAAAAGGAAACAGTATATGGGAAGGTTCGAGCAAGGCCAATTCCTGCAGGCAAAATGAGTCTTGGGGTCTTCAGCGAAGTCGAAGCAAAGTCTTTCCCGGAGATAGCAAATCCATAGCCTGTGTCTCACACGCATGACAAGACTCTAGAATTACTCACAGCTTTCTTCCAACCCTGGGCCCGGGCCCAGCCTCAGAATCCTTTTCCACAGGCCTCAGGCATCCACGAGCCATTTTCTCGTGTCACGTGACCTGACAATTCAGCCGCCCTCTCCCCCGAGATCTGATCCACACTCCTCTGTTTCCTTTATAAACAGAGTCACTTCCAGCTGAGCTGAATAAAGGATGACATGATTCTCCTCTTCATTATAAATTTCTGGAAAAGTGGTGGTTTCTGTTGAAAAGCTGAATCTCTATTGTGGACCCGAGGACGGGATGAAGGGAGAAGGTGGGCTGTGCCGTTCACCACCGGAAGCCACTGCCTCCCCGGGGGCCTGGCTGCCAGCCAGCAAGAGAAGGGCTCCTTCCTCCCATGCTCCGTGTAAAATCTCATCTTCCTGAGGCTGTCGATACAAAATCTGAGATTTTTGCTATGCAGGAAACTCAGGTCCAGTCATATGTTCTAAGGTGGCTTATGTCTGTGTAGTATAGAATACGTATTAAATCTATACGAGCAAAAGCGAACACCTGGAAAGCATTTACGTATGCCAAACAAGAAGGGCTTTGCATCAGTCTGTTTCATCCTCAGAACCACACTAGAAGACGGGTATTACTGTTATTCCCATTTTATAGGTGAGGAGACTGAGGCACAAGGAAGTTCAGCTCTAAGTCAAGACGGTAGATACTGAGCAGTACAGCTGGTCTTCGGAGCCACGCGGTCGGACTCTGGTTTGTGCTTTATGATCGCAAAGCTATCATGTAAATGCCACTGCGAATCTCTGTGTGTGTCTGTGCATGTGCGTGTGTGTGTGTGTGTGTGTGTGTGTGTGTGTGTGATCTAGGCATCAGAGATGAGAATGTTAGCTCACTGTCATCTGTGGAATAAGGGTGATGATAGAGTCTTATGTTATGACTCCCATTGGGTGTAATTTGTATTAGAGGGCTTAGTGAACGTGGAGCACACAGCAAAACCTGTTAGCAACACCAGCAGCACTTTCTTTAAGAGACTTTTTGTGAAACTGGGTGTGCAGTTTGTGTGTTGATGATATTTTTCAAGTGAGCAAAAACTGAGACTTGTGGGATCAGAGAGAATATTTGCAAGTTAAATTGCTGGGAAATCTAAAATATTTATTCCTCTCCTAGCAGATGCCTCTGTACTGCATTCTATCTTCTGAAAAGGCATGAACCATTAGCCGCAGAAAATATTTCAACAACATTTGTCATATTTGTCATTTTTAACAGCACTTTGGAAAACACTTAGAGACCAGGAGGATTGGATAACACAAAGCTGGATTTCCCACATCTATCCCAAGTCATTTGAAACAGAATTGTGGGTTACAGTTTAACCAACAGATTAGCCAATGTTTGCAAACTTTTGTCCACAAGTCTAAAGGTTTTTTTTTTTTTAATGCAAGACAGTTTTAAAATATTATTAATAAAAGAGAAATAATGACTTAGTATCAGAAGGCTTGTTTATATACTTATTCGTATATGAAGACTACAGTTGGCTTTTAAATAATCTAGTTCTAAAAAATTGTTTTAAATAATAAATAAATAATCTAGTTCTTTGTGCCTTAAAAAGTAAAACCCATTAGGCATTAGATGAGCATACACACATTAGCCATATTCATCACCCCAGACACTTTTACATTGTCAATGAAATAACTGATAGCTAATTGAATATATCCAACATTTTATAAAACTTCTTAAATAAAATTTTGCATCACTAAAAAAAATTTTAATGTTTGTACCATTAAGCACTTTGAGTGATGGTGTTAAATTTAAATGCAAGAATACATGTAAATTTGATTTTGCATTTCATCAAAAGATCAGTTTTAAATCACTAGATATTTTAAAGACATAAGGCATTATTAGAGGATAATCTAAAATCAATCCCTGGGTTTTTCACTTTTGCTTGTTTTAGTGGAGCAACAAGTTTTTTGTTGTTGTTGTTTTGTTTTGTTTTGTTTTGTTTTGTTTTAGAAATCCATGAATATAGTGGCAAAGTTAGGCAACGCTTAGTAAAGAAAAGGAAACAGAAACATGGACCATTCTTAACAAAAAATACTTTTTACTAGACCGCTAATAAGGAATGTCTGAGAAATGCAGCTGTGTATTAAGACGCCTCATTGATCACTTGCGTTCTGCACGAAGTCATGGGCTTTGTGCCAGGCATAGGCATCCCGGTTTGAAAGCTCACAGGAGGCCACTTGCTTGTACGTTAGCACCTGTTTTCACTCACCAAAAGAAATAAGAAGAGGATTTTCACTTCTATGAAAAAAGCTGTTACCATACTTATTATTTCTTTCCCAAAAGCCAAGTTGCCTAACGCGTACTTCCTGAAAATGGAGGATAGTCTTCACTTTACACCATTTCAAAAGGTGTCATAAGAACGCTTTCGGATAGCCTGGGAATCCTGCACCCTAAAAGTCCCATTACCAAGCAAACCTTCCCAGCACTAAAATCTTCCCTGCTAGTGTTTGACAATTCTACACCTTTTCCCAACTCCCTTTGCTCCTAGAAAAGTGACACGTAATTCATCAGCACATGAGGCATATTTCCATCTTCCCTAAGTGAATATACTCACCTCTTCTCGCTCTCTTTCTTTTTTTTTTTTTTTAAGATTTATTCATTTATTTATTTGAGAGAAAGAGGGGGAGGGGAGGGGAGGGGCAAAGGCGGAGGAAGAAAGAGCCTTTAAGCAGACTCTTTGCTGAGCACAAGCCCAACGCGGGGCTCGATCCTAAGGCCCTGTGATCACACAGAACCTGAGCAAGACCAAGAGATACTCAACGAACTGCCCCAGCCAGGCACCCCACTCACCTCTTCTTTCCCACTGTTTGGCACTCTGCAATATACTTCCCCCGTGGACGGATCATAAGAATCAAGATAGGAGTTACACGGTACAAACTTTCCATTAATGAAGTTTTCTAGCGTCAGAAGTGCCTTTGTTTCAGCCATGGTGAACGCGGCTTGTGCCTTTCTCCTTGGCAGTTGTCTCCTTCGGTTCTCCCTGCACGTTTCTCTACCCTGAGTTAGCCCCACCCTCGCTTCCAGTCCTAAAGTCCTCATTTGCCAATCAGTGAAAGTGGGAGGTGGCCTGATGCTCAGGAATGTTCCAGTCTCCAAACTCTGAGTGAAGAAGATTTAGGAATATTTCACAGACTTCCAGTTATTATGAGAAAGGGATAATAATATGGTAAGCTTGTGTCCATGGCCCTTTAAGATGTCAGAAGGCACCCATGTGACTTCTTTTATTGGGTTCACACTATAAACTATTTATTGTTCAAACATGGAGGGCCAGACCCTGAAGCAAGTCCTTGACATGAATCCACTCATTTATTCCATGCAACAATGCTTTATAAAGTGAAGTCATTAAATCCCTGAATGGTACAAGGAACTGAGCCTCAAAGAAGTTAATTTGTCCAAAATCTCTGTTAGTAAGGCATGAACTTTAATCTGTTTATCTTCAAATCATGTGATTTTCTTCAACACATCACTGCCCTAACTCCGCAGAGGTGACTGAAGACGGACTCCCTCTTTCGTTCTCTCGTCTGTTTTCCTGCCCTCTTCGTGAACAGTTCGTCCATCCTGAAATCAGCAGCTCACATCCTCCCCACTGTGCCACGCCAGTAAGGGCACAAGCCGTGTCCATGCACAGATACAAGTAACCTACAGGGATTTATAGCCACGATGCATGTAAGAATTTCTATAAACTGGTAAGGGAAATGAACAATCCAATTGAAAAAAAAAAAAAAAAAAAGCAAAGTCTATACAAAACCAATTCATAGTAAAAGGGATGCGATTGGCTAATGGCCTGAAAGGCGCTCCACCTCATGTTAATCAAGAGGATATGAAATACAGACAGGTGCCCTGATTCTGCAGTCAGAAAACTGTAACACCCACTGTGTGTGCAGGCGTGGGAAAGCACGTGCTCTCCTCCTCCCCTGATTCAGGGCAGTGGGGGTGGGGGGAGGGGGGCAGCGGTGCGGTCACGGAACACCCGTTAGGGCAGTCTGGAAGCATCACCATTTAAAATGTGCCCACTTGGGGCGCGTGGGTCGTTCAGTTGGTTGAGCGACTGCCTTCAGCTCAGGTCATGATCCTGGAATCCTGGAATTAAGTCCTGCATTGGGTTCCCTGTTCAGCATGGGGTCTTGTTCTCCCTCTGTCCTTCCCCTCTCATGCTCTCTCTCTCTCTCATTCTCTCAAATAAATAAATAAAATATTTAAAAATAAAAAATTTTAAAAAACAAAATGTGCCCATTTTGAGGCTAGTAATTCCACTTTTCAGAATCTCTTCCAGAGAATTTCTTGCTCTGGTGCAAGTAGGTAAGTCACAGGGCATCATTTTTTATTGTAATTTCAAAATAGAAAATAGAAAATACCTACCAGCTGACAATTATGATACTGAGTTACGACAGCCGTAAGGAATGTGATTTAGCCATTGAAAGGATATATTGTTAAGTGAAAAAGGAGAGCAAGTGGATAATAAACACAACAGGATCTCCTCGGATGCCTGCTTAAGGGGGATGGAAGGGGAAGAGCGAGGGTTCCTCTTTTTTTCTTCTTCTTTTTACTCCATATAGTTTTAAATTTCTTGAATACTGTCTGGTGAACCTATAGGAATATGCAACTTTTGTAGTTAAAATTTAGTCAAATGTGAGATACCAATACTCTAAATTTGGGACTTTTGCTGGCTTGTGCACGTCCTCAGGCCCTCCCCGCTCCCAACTTAATTGGTCTTTCTCTAAATGATCTCCAAAATGCTTGCAGATCACGCGTGCAAACAAGAGGGTCTCTGCTCCGTGTGCTTCAGGACTTTCTGCAAATCTAAAACTGCCCTGTGACGGTCTGCTGAACACAGGACCAAGCCCCCTGGTCTTTTCTCCTTTGCAACTCAAAGCCTCTGCAGAACCTTTGGCATTAGAACTCATTTTATATAATGTGGCCGCATTCTTGAGGCTCCTTCTCCCTCCCCAGTAAGAAGCGGGGAAGAAGTTCAAAGATGAAAAATTTTTTTCCTCAGCCTAAAATTCTTAACTTTTCCTGTTCCAGCTGAGTTTTCTCTTTTCTTTCTCTCGTGTGGGTGGTTTCTGGTCGTTTGGATGTGCTTCTGTTGAATACCTAGTCACAGGTAAAGAAAAAGGGACCCCCCACATGGACAAACAGATACAATGCTACACACAGCCCCGGTCTGTTCCAGGACACAGAAACACTGTGTGTATTTCAAAGTCTAATAGGAGGAAAGGATTACATTGGGTTAGACAGCTGAGGGAGGACCCCGTCCAGCAGAGGTACCCAGACAATATTAACATCTAGTAACAGGGAAGAGAGGCCGCCATGTCTGAGACGGGGGCGCACAAAGGAGAGGTGGGTAGCAGCAGCTCCTGCAGGCCCAGGCGGCGGGGCAGGGGGCGGGGGGGGGGGGGGGGGAGTGCAGGAGGCGGGGGCTGCAGCAGAAGCCGCTGTGGCTGCAGAGATGCTGACAGAGACTGGAGACAGAAGGTAGCATCTCCTCCCTCCTCCTCCTTCTAGGTTCTTCCTAGGGCCTCCCATTGGCAGAAAGCCAGCTGGCAAGAGATGTGAGCCATATGGTTTGCAGACCCCAGCCCTGGCGCCACAGAACACAGTAGCAGGGAGCCCAGAACAGAGTGACCTCGGGGAAATACCCAGCCCAGACAGACCTTCCCTAGATTGTGTCCCTGGTTCTCCCACTCTCAGCTTCTTGTGTCTTTTTTGCTCCTTCTGAACCTCCTAAAAGCGCACCTTTCTCCCAAGCACTTCATGCTCAAAAATATGCCTGACCCTCCCTTTCCCTCACACACTTAACTGAGATTTCTCTCACCCCAGCATTTGAGAAAAAATCTGATTATGTGACAGAAGCAACTGAGACTAATGTGGATTGATTAGCCAGATTTTTTTTGGTCTTTTTGTATAGCTCATAATAATCCAAAAGATTCCAAGTAGAGGACTGCTTAAGGGAGAGCTTTTTAAAGAAACAGACTTTCTAAGTCTGGGGGTGGTGTTTTCTGCCACATAATAGCAGAGTAATGTGAGAAGATGGACCTAGTACTTCTAAAAAGGGCTGGCGCTTCTCCGAGCTTCCCCACACAGAAACAGGCCCGGCCTCTGAGCTGACGCGGGGATTAGTCATAGTTGCACTTTGCACCACTTGCCATTCAAGCTTGACCTTGTCCATTTTGGCATAATCCAATCGCCCTTCCCCTTCCTCCCTCTGTCCTACCAGCCCTTTTCTGTCCACACTGCAACCACTGACCCCCACATACAGATCAACCTCCGATCTGACTTTGGAACCAGAGCTCGGTTGAAGTGGGAGGCACTTCCTTGGGACGCAGCAACCAGCCTCACTTCGACCTGAGCCCTAACCTGCCTTCATACCCGTCCCTCGAAATGTAGGACCAGTCATCTCTTGCCTTGTTTCCCTTAAGAAGACATAAAACCCTACATCCAGGCCTACGAATAGAGACCTTGCTCCCCTGTAGTCCCACCTGCCTTCCTGTACCTCTGGATGTGACCTGCTCCTGAATTCTGGGCTGGACCACCCAGCGGTCCAGCCCAGACCATCCGGAGCGGGTCCTACTGAGTGCTGGGGTAGTGTTCAAGGGCATTCCCATTGGCAGCAACCAGGTCTGCCCCCACCACCCCCCAGTGGACGGATTAGTGCCAAGTCTGGCACAGTGAGAATAGAGGACTCAGGACTGTAAGCTCAACTGACAAAAACTATAAACATGATCTATGGAGCGTACTCATATTCTGAAGACTAAGAGTTCCAGAATATTTCAAAGAAGATAGTTTTCACCTCATAGACAAAAAGCATTCCTTTTGAGAAGGGTAGGCATTCGCTGATGTAGAGCGCTCCCAGGTGTGAGGATGGAGAGCCCCGTGTGAGTTTTCTGGAGGGATCAGAGGATGGAACTCGAGAGACTCAGGAGACTCGGGAGATGGCTAAGGAAGGATGGGGAGGAAGTTAACGGGCAGCCAAGAAGTGGGTAATCCCAGGCAGAGGAAATATCTATTCAGAACCCCACCTGCCTTGTCTCCACAAGAAACTTGACCAGCAGACTATCTCCTCTCCGGCCCCATGTCCTTCTCCCTCCTGGTTCTGCAGCCTTTCAATGCGCCCGTCTCTCCACTATAATAGCGGATCGTGGGACCAGGGTGGAGGAAAGCAGGAGCCTGGCAGTGGAGGTGTGTACCTTCTCCAACAGAACAGTGCTCCAAGAATCACAAAATTAAACCCAGTTGATGGGGTGCTGAATTGATATTACAAAAGCCACAAGCTACTTCGTATCCTCATATTTAGGTATAATTTAATTGACCTCTTTATGTGGTCGGTTTTACACTGTTACTTCTACCTATTTCAGTGATTTCCATGTAAGAAAAAGTCACTTCTGAGAGCTAGAAGCTGGCCTGGGCCTCACAGGCAGGCCATGATGTTCTTCTGTCAAACATTAACAATTCCTAAATCTCTGACGTCAGACTAGGTCGCTCTGTGATCACACCTGAGCGAAAACCCAGGGACTGTGTAAACCTTAAAAATGATGAAACTACCCCCTCTTGTGGCTAACTTGAGTGACTGCCGTCGCTGTGCCGTGTTCATTGGCCTGACCTCTTAGATAAAAGTGGGTCCCCCAGCAGCAGAATTACTCCCTTTCTGACAGCACTCAATCCAGAAGAAACCCTTGCTCACTTGAGCCCTCCTCAAAATTACCTACTTCCACATGCCAATTCTTTAACAGCCCCACCTTACACCTTCTTACTGAGCTCCTCGTCCTCTGTGGTCTGTGTTCTCTCTTGCTGCAGCAAATATCAATAGAAATAATTTTGACTAGTTGTGCCCTGGTGGTCTTTGATCGATGACATCTACAAGTGATGGGCACCAGCCTATGCTTGCTGCATAATATTCTGTCACGATCTCCCTAATCTTAAAGCTTTGGACTACCTCCATGATCTGAGCATTTTACATCCTGCCTCCCCACTTCCTTC